CAGTGACAGTGTTGTTGCAGTGACAGATGCTAAAGACACAATCAGTGGAATTGAACAGACATTTATTGATGGGAAATATTTCTCTACAGCGTGGTTAACAGTCAGAGCAGCCCGTGGCTCTGACTGTGTTTGGTTCAATACTCAGTCACACAGACGTGTTTGTTTACAAAGTTCAACTCCTGAAAAAGTTTCACCTTCATTTTAGCTGAACTTCAACTTGTTTAAAATAGAATAAAACTTTCACTGTATTTCAGGAGGACGAGTGAAGTCAACTCTCCACTGGGGGGTGCTGTTTAGACGTGGCTGAAGCAGAAGGCCAGACCGGGGCTCCAGGATCGTGCACCAACGCTCTTCACCCTGTGTTAGAAGAAGAAAAACACACCAGGTGACGACAAGGACCAGGTGACGACAAGGACCAGGTGACGACAAGGACCAGGTGACGACAAGGACCAGGTGACGACAAGGACCAGGTGACAACAAGGACCAGGTGACAACAAGGACATCAAGTATCAACAGACCCAGTCAGTTGAGGTGAGACAGTCTGTTCTGTATGTCCCACTGGAAACATATATTGACTCCTCCTCATTGACTTCAAGTCAACAGTAAACATATGTTTGTCACCTGGTCCTGGTTGTCACCTTTGACCACGCCTCCTCCTGTCCCTGAGGAGGAACGAACCAAGTCGGTCAAGGGGAGACTTTAACGTCGACGTGTGTAGATCATAAATACAAGTAGAGACAAAGAAATGTTCCCAGGTTCATAGTGTAGTGGTTGTTAAAACTGCCATTCATGCGGCAGGTCCTGGGTTCGAGTCCCAGTGATACACACTTGATCCTCCTCATTGAAGTATTTGTTTCCAACAGTGAAATGTGTTTGTGAACTGGTACTCACCAGAGAGTGTGTGTGTGTGTGTGTGTGTGTGTTTACGGCCGGTGACCGTCGTCGGGTGGGGCGTTCTTCTTCTTCTTCTTCTCTCTCTGCAGCCGCTCCAGCTCCGCCTCGTACATCAGCTCCTGGATCAGGTGCTTCTCTCTGCGCATGCGCTCACGCAGGTCTTTGGGCAGGTCTGGGATCAGGTACGAGATCAGGGTCTTGATGGCAAAGACCATGTGCTGCAAAAAACCCCGGAAAAGAGTTCGTGAACGGAACGACGACGTTCTCCGTATGACATCACAGGGTCAAAGTTCAAGCTCCTCATTCTGGCACTTTTACAATAAACATTAGCTTTTCTGTGAATCAAATGACTGACAGCGTCACTTCAGGGGTCAAAAGGTCACCGTAGGCCGTGTCAGGTCAGGTCAACTACACGACTCCCAGATGAGTGAAATAGAGGTGGGGGGTCGGTGTAGGGTTTGACACATATGATGTACAATTGGAAGATTACAGTCACTGAAGTCCGTCCCCCCCAGGTACTTGAAGTATTACTGAGAACATTTACCTCAAAGACTATGATGAAGGCCAGGCGTGCTGCCAGAACGTGCCAGAACTGCAGCGTGTACGAGTACGGTTCTGTGGCGTCTGGAGGTTCTCTGTAGTCCCGGTACCTGATGACCAGCAAAGACAGGAAGTACTTCAAAGTCCTGTTCGTATAACACGGTATTTCTACAACAAATACTCTCACCTGCAGTACTGCACGGCTTCTCCCAGGAGCTCGGAACCGTTCGTCTTCGGCCGCGATCGCTTCTCGAAGTCCGACACCTGGAACACGGACAGGCTGGCGTTGACGTAACCAACCAGACACCTGGGAAAATACACACACGTACACGTGTACACGTAGCCGCGAG